ACGATGTCAATCGGAGCGGGTGCACGCGCCCGGAAGAGGCAGGGGAGGGGGATCTCGAAGTGATTGACATGTTTTCCACGGTGGAATCCATTCGCGTTACGTCGTCGAGATGTAACTCTCGACCTTCCTCCTTCTTCTCTCTCCTTTCCATGATAATTTCTCTCTCCCTTCGGAAAAACCTCACGTTAACAATGATTCCGTCGTGATTTCGATTCGCCTGGCTAAATTGGAAAGGCATCCTCCCCCTTTTTGTAATCCTACGGTCTCGCTAGATCAAGGCGATTTTCGCGCAGTGGTATTTTTATATCTCGAATAGGTGAAAACGTGATACGACGCAAACTACGTCAGTGGTTCGGCGAATAGAATTTTTGTTCTTTCGCGACGAGATTATTCCCGTACATATTCTTTTATGCGCGCGCACAATGCCAATCTCTTAGAAATCGAGTGGCATAATAAATTTATACGAGTCAGCAGAGTCAGCTTTAAGAAGATAACAGATACAACTCGGAGATAGGGCTCTCTCTTCTCGCTCTCTCTCTCTCTCGTTCACGCTATGACTCGCGAATTCAAACTCACGTCCCCGGACGGATGGCTTTCAGCCTCAGTCAGAGAGGCATTGCCAGGACGTCCCGGGAGGATGGTAGTTGATCATAAATGACAGATGGACTGTGCGAGCTGGTTGGCGTATATTCGTACGTATGTACGAGAGACTACGTAGACAAGAAAACCTCGCACATCGCGAAAATAAAAACTGTCATGTAACAAGTTAGCGACGACAAAGAGCGACGCGGAAACAGAGGGAGAGGAGAAAGAGAGAGACAGAAGAAGGGGGATGAGGGGAACCGGCAGCAACGGAGATGCGTAGTTAGACTGAAAGAGTGAGATCGCGTCGTGCGAGCAACGGAGATGATAACGACGGTGATGGGCAGTGTCGAGTTTTGTGACATGACAGCGAGGTATGCAACGCTTGGCAGCTGTATGCGCGGTGCGCTTAAGCGGATCTCTCTGTTGAGATTTGAAACGTAACACCCGTTGCAGAACACAACACCTCGCAAGTGTAGCGGCGCCGATTCTACTCTTGCCCCCTGCCTCTCTCTCTCGCTCACCCTTCCTCCTCCCCCTTTGAACGAGTTGCGATATAGTCGGGTTCCAAACTTAGCTCGAGTCCTTCCTCCCCGGTTCTCCTTCCCCCCCCCCCCTCGCCCCTATCGCGTTCCCTCGTACATCTCGGCCTACGAAACAGGGCGACACGTTTAATTGGTAATCCGTTTAAAGGATTAGTAACTCACGATGGGTATTAGGACGTGTCGCTGGTCCGTCTGCAGCTTGTCCGTTTCGCACGGACAAGCCGAAGGACACGTAACCCAAGCACGCCGTCGTGGACGCTTTCCAGCGTTAGCATTCGATAGCACTCAACAATCAGGGTCGACGGCCTTGTCGTCGTCCTTCTCGGCGGCCGAAGCTGAAAACGAAAAGAAAAAGGGAAGAAACGAGAAGCGAGAGACTCTCCTTTTTTTTTTTTTTACTCGCATTCGTCGAGAGCGGAGAACTTGTTAATCACCCACTCGGACCGGATCGTCGCTCTTTTGTGAGATTCATATAGAATGCGCGAATCTTTTCTCTCGAACGTTGAAAATAAGTCGTTATTTTACACGGAAAGGGAAATATAATCGTATATCGAGAACGCGAATTTAATGAGAAAACACACGCGCGAGAAAATTCGACGAGGCTCAATTTTTGCCCCGACACAAGAGATCGATTTAACCTCAGTCGTATTTTATGACGCGACTAAAAAGTGAGACTCGAGGGTACCTTCTGCCTCCCTCTCTGTCCCCCATCCCACGCACACATACACACGTACGCTCGCGTCCTCCTTTTCTCTCCTCTCCAATGTTCGACACGATCCCGCGGGGTGTGCTCACTTTTCAAACGAGCTTACTCTTTGCCACGCAAAAGCACATAGCCTGGGGGATAGAACGGGTTTGAAATCCGGTCTGATCTAATAGGGATTAACAGAGTGACAAATGTAAGAGTTAGCGACGGCGGGGTTGATGCTCCGCTTCTGCCCTTTGCTTTTAAGAGCATCTCTCTCTTCCGTTGAAAAAAGGGATATTCGATCAACAGCTTAATCATTAAATGCAATCTCTTCACCGAGAATGACAAGAATTAAAATTCACATTTTTTTTTTAATAGAATAGAATTTATTAAAACAATGTTGTGTATAATGATAGATAGCAATCGGATCATTAAGTGAATTTCGTTCATTATTCGTATATTATTAAGTTATAAAATAAAACCGGAATTAATATATGACTGTTATGGAGTTGTTCGTCTCGTTAAAGTGCCTGTTAAGATTGAAATGTCGGATTACAATGATAGCTCGATCGAAACGCGATAGTAAATAACAGCGCATAATAAATTATAAAAAGGGAACGTTTGGCAAAACCCGACTCACGTTTACCAGGAAATCGATCCTACTAACCGCTGGCAACGTTTCAAACACATAGTTCGGCTACATATTTATATTCTTATGTAAGATCCGGGGTAGATATGTATAAAGAACACAAGGGAAGTACTTAAATTGGAGGGAGAAACGCGCGCGCGGCGGACGTTACAAACTGGCGGTTCTTGCTCGAAGGAAACCGACGGATCGAGACGATCGAGCTTAAATAACGAGGCGCGATATTATAGAAAAGCCCGTACATACATCGCTAACGTAAGATATTTTATATTTTTTTATCCGGCATAAGATCTGGCGCAATTATTATGCTACATTTGTACAAAACGCTCGTATTTAAACCCGAAGTTGTATGTTTCATTATCTCGATGATTAATGGACACAGTCTTTGGGTGGCCGATAATGTATGTCGATTGAACAGCAACGTCGAAAGGAGTATCAGATAACGTTCTTTAATAACGAGGACAGGATCCGGGCTGAAATTATCGGCACTTCCAACGCGCTAAATTCTCCGCATGGGTCATCAATCAACGGCGGCGGTTGAGAAAAGATTCACCTGGCCTAATTTTATCGATAATCTCCGCGGGATCGATCTTCCCGATCGGAAATTCCTCGTAATAATAGACAAACGTAACTGCGACGGGTCTGCCCCCGGGTGAAACATATTTTTATGAAGGTTAAGGAGATAAAACGCTAAAATAGTACGAAATCTTTCTCTAAATTATGCAAATTTTTTCTTTGTTATATTGAAAAATTAATGATATTTTGCTTTTACTTAAATCTAATATGCAACTTTTTTAAATTAAATTCAATATGTAAAGTTTTAATATTGAATTAGTTATAATTAAATGTCCATATTTGTGTCTTAATTATTATTTATTATAAAAAAACATTTTAATGATTAATTATTATTTAAAAAAATATATGTCAAAATATATAATAAATAATATAATAAATCTTCGTATGCACGAATTCCAAAAATGTCCTTGCAAAATGATAAATAAATGTCAAATCTTTAATTTTTATACTTAAATTCAATTTTATACCTTGGATTTATATAATAAAAAAATTATATAACAAATTACAAGAAATTAACATTCGGAAATTATATAATCATAAATAAATTTTGTTTTGTTCTGAAATAAAATAAGAATTATTTTATATTGTATTAAGACACAAATATTACATATTTTATCAAATGAATTCGAATGTACTTTGTATAATCCATGAGTATCATACATATAACGCAGAACGTATTCCTCGTGCGCGTTATACATATAAATAATCTCATAAATTTTTCTGAGAAAGAAAAGAGTTAGTCAGTCAGCTGTGCTTTAAAATACATATGTCGTGTAAAGCATCCAGACAAGATCTACGCATTGCGGAGTGTCTCGTACACTTGTCCGGGAGCATACTTTGCGTTTAAAAAGCAGAAAGGGCGAACGCGCACGACATTACGCGACGACGTCGGCTATGCGGTTCGTAATAAATCAAATCGTGTTTTTCAAGAGGGTGCCGGCTCGCGAGCCTTCCGTGCACGAATGGTAATGAAAACCGTTGCACGATACAGCCCGATAACATTCCCCGTGACCAAAGACGGGGGACGCGCGAGTCTCGTTTATACGAAGACGGAGACGAAGACGCAGCGACGACGAATCGTTCTCGCAAAACCCACCGGCTCTCTCGAGTACGTATTCTCATTGCTTGCATACCTGCATACGTACATTCGGAATCGTGCAAAAGAAACGATCCAAGTAACTTTTCTCTTTTCGAGTTTATATAAGCCGTTTGACAATTAAGGCATGTTTTTTTTTCTAGATGATCGAAAAATTACGTTTGCAAATTAAAGTTTATTTTATTAAAATATTCCAAAGCACGCGCATTATTTACTTTTTGCGTTATGTATTTTTGAATAGACTACAATTAAAAAATTCCATAATTAAACGGGAAATATCTTTTCGAAGTAAGATAAAAAATTTGGCACAAAATGATAATATTAAATTAATTTATACAAATAATTTCTTGAATAAATATACTAATATTTTTTAAATAAATGTTAAACGCGATTACGACAAATATCGAAAAATAATTTGCTATAATCATTATCGAGCACATTTAAATACAATTTGATTTGAGAAGTCGATAAGATAATTGAATCGTAGAATCTAATATTTAACATAATGAAAGATTCCGATATATCTATCGTTTAATAAATAATTAATCTGTGATTTAAAATACCTTTATAATTTGATATTTCATATCGTACATACATATATATACACACATACGCGCGATTGTGAAATATTTTATAAAATATTAAAGTATCTATATAAAAATATTAATTAAAAATCTTTTATAGCAAATATTTTATTTTATAGATTTTATGTATTTTAAAATATTTGAAGTAAAACCTGAAATATTTTTTATATGCAATATATTATAAGATAATTTAAAACAAAAAAGAGTATATGTATGTATATGTATATAATATATATGTATTTTGAAAATAATATAAATGATAAATAATTTATAAATCACTTACCCCGCTTATCGTTGTTTTATCCGTCGTCTGATACTTTTATAGATCTCCTTTTCCTCTCTTGTTCATCCTTTTCTGTCTTCTCATGGCACTCACATTCACTCGCGAAAACACAATTAATCATGCTTAATTGTACACGCAACGAACGCGAGAGAGATACTTTGCACGACACTCCCGATCGCGAAACGATTACATTAGATACGCAATTTATTATATAAAAAGAAAGCAAGTAACATGAAAAGTATGATTTACTCCATTTATACAAGACTAAAATCATGTTCTACTTGTGACAAAAATATATCGCGTTTTCGATGTAAATTAATTTCATTATTTAATTGTCGAAAAATCGAACGATAAGTCGCGGACAAATATATTTGTCTCTATGTGTTACTAAAGGAATAATTATTGTTTGTAAAAATCATAAAACAATAATTTATAATTTAGATTTCTGTTGTATGCGCTTCGATTTTTACTTAATCAAAGGAGCAAATTACGCGAAATGTGTGCTTTGAGAATTATCATTGTGTGTAAGTAATATATATTATTTACATTAAATTAATCAGGAATCATATTGTTATATAATAATAAATAATTTCGATATTGATCGCGATTGAATTTAAAAATGGAATTAAATGGTATCTCACACCGCACTACTTTCCTGCTTCAGTGTCGTGGCATGAATGATAGGGTCGACAAGGAATTAATAACAATAGGAGATATTTAGTTTTTACGACGCACAGAACGTTAATGTTTACGTTTCTCGAGCCGCGCGACTGTACGAGTAGGAGAGTAGTGGTGGGGGAAACTCCGTCAAATTCCTTTCTTCAACGTCATCGCGACTACTACTAGAAGATTATTTGTTATAATGATATAATGAATGATTAATTAATTTTTATAAATAATATATAACTACATATATATACATATATATTTTTTTCTATCGTCATAGTCCTCGAATTAGATATTTCATTCAATTAGATATTTCATTTATATTTGTAATTTATTTATTTAATCAAATAAGAACTGAAGCGTGTGTGTGTGTGTGTGTGTGTGAGCTAAGAATCTAAATTATAAATTATTGTTTTATTGATCTTTAGAGACAATAATTATTCTTTTAATAACACATAGAATCATCCGCGATGCTTTATTGTTTTATTTTTCGACGATTAAATATAATTTACATTAAGAACTCGTAGTATAAAACAATCAGATTGTAGATTCAAGTAATTAGCATAACAAAAGATACTACGATACTACGAAAGATGACGATACTACGATACATCAATCGGTTAATAATAATTAACTTATAATCTAAAATACTTTTATATTTTAATATTCCGCGTATATAGATGAAATACGTAAAATATTTCGGCAAAGAATTTCGACAATATAACACAGGTGTTCGGCCTTGACGGCGTCTAGCGCGCTATTGTTTACATGTGACGGCCTTGTTATCATTCGCGCGGCGACGCTCGAGTAGTGTGGAACGTGTGCGTATATTATCGAATTCTTTTATCACAAAACGCGATTGTGACAAGTATTGAATCATAAAATTCGCTATAATTATTACAATTAATGATTATTAAACTTTTTATAAGCAACACGAAACTGTATCATGATGATAGATTATCGAAGCGCGACTATTATTGCAAAAGTAAAAATTAAAACGAAAGGAATAAGTTAAAAATTTTGTTACGATCCTTCGATTAATCCTTTCGAATAATAATTATTTCTCTAACTATATTTAGAATTAAATACTTTGGCCGATGATTTAAATTTTTCTAAAATGTGAGGATGAATTATTAATTATTAAACGATTGATGTATCACGATATTTTGATCTTACGATTTGTGTTATTGTGTTTACAATAGAGATATTATTGTAGCTAGCACATGATTTTGATCTCATCTATATATCAAATGAATTATATTTACTTTTCGTGTTGCTCGCTTATGGCGCTTATGATATAGTGCATATCACGTGAGATTATTCCGCGATCGGGAGTGCCGTGCAAAGTGTCTCGGGATTATTGCATATATGACTAATAATAATTAATAGTGTTTTCGCGAGTGAGTGTGAGTGCCACGGAAACAGAAAGGAATGAACAACGGAGGAAAAAAGCATCTAAAGAAACATCTGGCGAGGAATGATATGTAAGTAATTTATAAATTACTTATAATTCATATTATTTTCAAAATAGGTAGACTGCTCGTTTTTTTCTGAATTAATAAAATGTATAAATAAAATATTTCAAGTTTTATTTTAAAAGATTTAAAATATCTATAATATCTATAATAAAATATCTGTAATGGAATATTTTTAATTAAAATTAATATCTTTATATAGATATTTAATATTTTATTCAATATTTCACAAGCATAATTACTTTAATATCTTATATGTCTAACAATAAATGACATCCCCCTTTCTCGCAGTTTATTCGGGCTCTGTCCGCCGGTTCACTTTGCCGCAATTTTTGTCTCTGTCGTGTTCCGGGAGAACCGCGGTGTAATTAATGCGCGACGGGCAAAAGAAAAGTCAGATCTCTCCTGTATGTCTGTCATGCAGGATTCGCCCGACATGGTGGACGAGCGACTATGAAATGCATGTCCCCTCGTGAGAACCGACTTGTTCTTACGATATACACAACCGTTGCCGGTTTCTGATCGACGTATGAATATATACATACCTGTCTGATAGAATAATATCGATCGGTATATTACCGCAAATTAAAGTATAAATTCAAGCGCAATTTTTATCGCGCGTTTCTTCGACATCGCGGATATCGAACGGTATATTAGTTTATTCGTATCTTTTCTCAGCATAATTAATTTGACGCGAGCACGCCATCGTCACACATATTTCGTGTAAAATTATATTATCGAATTAATATTTGAAGAAAACTGTAATTTATAAGGAAAATTGCATATTAGATACCTATATTCGAAATACGATGACGTATTTAATTTACTTTAATTTATCTAAGATGATTGTTTCACAGCTATGTGTTAATAAATGCTAAATATTTTCATACGAATTTATCTCCTGCTTCGATGATTTCCGTCTTCTTTTTGACGGCGTATTAAATTACTGTTAATAGAAATATTTAAAAGCTCAAATATAGCGAAAATTATTCTTCTCTCGTCGCTCAGCATTTTAAAATCGACTTAATCGGAGACTAACAGAATTCCAGGCATGTCAACAAGCGTATAATAATAACAATCATCTAAATTTTCACTGTCTGTCAAGTATACTATTATGATTGACTTTGTTTGTTTCTAATTCAAAATGAAAGATCTATGTTGGAACCATCAAATTAATACTTGAAAACTGTCGACCATTTTGAAGTTCGATTTTATTTCGATTTAAATGTCTCTTGAAATGATCGTATAATACATAACTCGATCCGAAATTGCTCGTGCGAATGCGAGAATATGACAGCTTATTAATATCCCGGCTTATTTATTGGGGCTGGGAGAAGGAACCGCCACTTCTGCGAGAACGAAGACGGAAGGATTACGTGGTTCGCATCTTTCGAGAATGGAACCACTCTCGTCTTTCTCTGCTCGCTCGCCGTACAACTCGTTCCACCTTGGACCAACCCGCGGCCGACCTGTCGCGGTTTCAGTACCTGGATACAGCCTGCCGTAGCCGACACGCGCGCGATTTGCTCGCGTCGACTCCGAATTTTTGCGCGTCCCTCGCTCGCTCTGGAATCATCGTCGGTTTATTTAAAGGCTCGGTTTATTCAAAAGCGAGTAGAGTGACAAGTGTCATAAGGAGGCGAGACAAGTGATTTTAATCGCTCTCTATTGTAAGTTTCTCTCACTGAATTACTTGTGAATCTACAATTAAAATTGCGATAAAAAATAGGGGAAAGGCAATTCACTTGTGAATAATGTTCCTGAAATCTTAGAGGGTACTTCATCCCTATCCCTATCGGGAAATCGCGAGCGAGATTCCTCTTTCCTTTCGAGGGCGAAATCTCGGGCGGTATTATTCGATCGGTGCTCCGCGAACGGAATGCGCAAACCGTATTTAATAATGCGACGGCGACAAGAAAGCGTAGTCTCTCGTACGAGACCACACTCGGGAAATCGGCGCCGCAAATTAATATAAGATCGGGCCCCCTCGTCGCGAATCGCTTCATCGAGTATGCGTACCGTGCGAACGCGATTCCGATTGGCATATCTCATGAAATTCCTCGCCGGCGTATCGCGTCGCATTTTGATTAGATTTTCTCGCTTGCTGACGTTTCAAGTATTATCTTGTATCATTCTTATTTCGCACAGAAGGATGAGAAAAAGTTAGAATAACAAGTGTTTCGAAATATATTTTTCTATGTTCCCTCCAATTTATTTTCGTAGAAGAATATGAATATTAGCGTAATATTCTCTTAGAAACAAAGTAATATTATGCTTGATGCAAGACTTAAACTAAGTAATATTATGCTTGATGCAAGACTTTTCTCGCAGACGTCACGTGTTTCGTCTGGGAAGGCGAAGCGCGAGATGAAAGTGGAGAAGTTTGAGGTGATTGTGCTCTCGACACTTTCTCCGGGAGTGCTTTGTAGCCCGTAAACTTTGTTCGTTCGACAATCCTCGGACTGAGAGGGGGGAAAAGCGAGAAAATGCAGCAACGATAGCGGTGATATAGGCGAGGCGAGTCGCCGCTTCCAACCCAAGGCGGTTTTTCCGCGGCGGTAGCTGCGCAATCATTTGTTCAACACACTTGCAACAAATCCAATACCCTTGGTGCGAACACACGAATTTTTCTTCGTTGCTTTTCACCTTTCGCGGATAAAAAAAAATACGTGTATAAAATATTTGTCATCGATCTCACCACTATTTTTATTAGCACAATCTGTAGTAATTTAATTTTCTAGATACAATAAAAATACTTAATATTTTGATTATACACATGCAAATGCGCGATAATCGAAATTTTGTACAGACTGTTCCCTCGAGTTTCGTGGTTCAAAAGTACTTGTCGCGGATTGATTCCACGGCGACAGGAAAATTTGTATCGCGAGGAAAAAGCGTTTCCCCCCCGTCTCCCTGATTCTCAACCCGTCGTGGAAGCAGGAGGAGAGAAAACGTGCGAGGACTTTGGATTTATTCGAATACACTTTTTCCCGTTGGAAGAACGCGTCGCATTTACCCTGCTCGAAGGGTGTGTGGAAAAGGGCCGGATTCCTTAATATCCCCACGGGACTTTGGGATCAGATAGATATCGG